ATTACTATGGTTAATTTAACTAATTAAGGTTTAAGGTATACAAGGTTATACTTAATACTTTTCAAAGGTTAAATCTGAATCGGCGTTTGTTTTAAGACAGATGCTCGATAAAATTTGGATAATTTCATTAAATAAATTAAAATGAGAAACAAATCTTTTTTTCGAAACTATACTAATTTAAATAATTTGATTAAAAAAATATAGAGATACACGTAAATTATACGAAATGGATTTCGGTTTCCGAATCGGGAAAAAAATAGGAAATTTTTAACTAAAATAAGTCAAACACTAGAGTTGTAAGTGGATATTCGGGAGAATCTAACCTCGCATAGTTAATATGGTGAAATGCAAAACCAATGGTGAAAAATGATACGAAAAATAATTATATTCTAGGAAGCATGGAATCACACTCTATTTTCAAAAGTAAAATGCTTATCGATGATGATGCAGATGATGGATTAAAAAGTGTTCAAGATATCGAAGTTTAAATTGTTTCGGTATTCATACAATGTCTAAAAAAGAAAATTAATTTGAAATCTAAAGTTTGCATCAAAAATCATAGTGCAATGTTTTTTTTTTTAATTTTTTTTTTAAATGGTAGGCATTTAACTTACCGTTCTTGCTTTGTAAGGTGCCGGAAGTATTGCTCATTTAGCGTTAATTGGTGAGCACTTTGTGACCAAAGTCGCAGAGTCGACAACATAACCCACGCCACACTGTCACACATACCAGTCCATAAGGTGGGCCACATTCCCTCATCACGTACAACACAGGACACTACACAAAGAGAAACATCCATGCCCTGAACAGGATTTGAACCCACAAGTATTGGCTTCGCCTTAAGGCACGCAAACCGCTCAGCCGCCTGGCCTGCTCATAGTGCAATGTTTAGTACTTTATTTGTAGTACTTTATTTCAATGTTGGTACTTCATTTACGTCACACTAGAGTCGCACAATTGACTATTGGCGATGATTTGGGAAACATCCCTGAGGATGATCCTAAGATTTGCCATCTCAATTTTGATCCTCTACAGAAGGGATGGCGCCCCTGCTTTGTAGCCCAACGGCCTGCGCTCGAAGTAAAGCAATTTACGGTAGAACAGTTTAACGAGGACCAATACTGCACAACCCTACACAAGCTGATCAAAGTGGTGACCCACCCGCTTTCTGACAGCAGCCAGTGATGCTTGACTTCAGTGTTTACTGAGAACCGTGTCTCTACGATAAGTCAACTGCGGGATCAATGTAACACGGAGCTAATTTTTTCTTCTGGAGATAAAATCAAAACAAAAGTAAGTGTGGTTGTAGCTTCAATGAGCAGTGAAGAAATAAATAATTCTGTTTCGAAACAAGAAGTAGCGATATCACAAATGGTATATAGTTTTAATAACAAACCGCAAGATGGATCATACCTATATTCTTTTAATGTAAATTAAAATGTTATTCTTTTCAAAGTGAAAGTTGAAATATTGCAATCAAACAGAAAATACCTGCAGTTGGCAGGGCGATGCGATTCCGGAAGCATGAAATCGCTTATTACTGAAGAGGCAGCTAATTTGTTGGATTTAAAAAAAGTCGTGATGTAGGTCAAATTTAGTTGGATTAAAACTGTATCTCCGATTATTGAAGAATCCTATCACCAGTAAATAACGATGAGAAATCGTTTAGATAGGAAATATAGTTTATTTTTATTTTTTCCAGATATTTCCGGAAATGTTCCTTTGGAAATATTAAACATTTGTAACTTGAATTTGTTTGAAAAAAAAAAGTACGCTAATACTAATTTTTTTTTACCCAAAAAAATAATGTTTTTTTAGGAGGTGAAATATTTTATGAATTCCTTATAGCAAATCAAATTTTATTAAGAGGTAATTCTATTAACTTAATTGAAACAGTTTCCGCATTTATGGATACAGGTTCTACGAACCTTTCCGTCTAGGAATATACATAATTTCAAATATTACTTCTCATAGATCAGTGTCAATGAAGTGTTAAATAGTTTTGGGGAATTAGAATCTATTGGTATAACTATAAATGATAATTTAGAAGAGGAAAGTTTTCTTTTAGCTCTCTCTAAAAACTCTGTAGATTTCAATGACGGGAGGTATCAAGTCAGGTGTGATGCCACAATTGGCATTACATATTTATTTCCTATCCTTTAAAATATCTTTTATTACTTAAGCTTATTTTTATTAATAGAATTATATTTAAAATAAATCAATGACTTAACGAACATAAAATATTTATTCTTCTCTTACAGATCAATGTAACGGATACTTTTTATTTCATTACTAATGCAAACTTATTAATTCACTGTCGTGCCTAATCGAAAACAAAAATCTATTAATAACTTTTTATTCTAAATTTCTAACCGCTAAATGTTTCTGTTGCATGGTTGCAATAATTCTCAAAAATGTGTTGGCGACTCGTGATCGCCAAGGTATTTTCTGAACCCAATATTGATATGCTGGTTGGCTTTGTTTTGGCTATGTTATCTTTTGATCATTCGCCAATTTTGGATCTCCTACCCATACTTTCTGTGTCCGTTAGGAGCAATTGTATTCACTTTTAATTCAAAATTTGTGGCGACTTGGAGAGCCCTTTGGGTCCTCCTGTCCCTGCCATCCGAACGGATTTAAAAATGCAATCGTAACGGAATGCTAACAAAAACTTCTTAATGTGGAAGTTATAGTTTCTCGATCCCTTTAAGGGATTTATTTTTGATAATTTGTAATTATATATGATGGCCATTCCTCATAAATTGGATTTTTAAACGATTTATATATGAATTTCCCGGAGACTGTCATTTTGTTTCATACTGTTATTAACGGCCAATACGAAAAATAATGAATTTAGATATTTTCCACTGTACAAATAATGGCAGCCACAGATGAAGAACAATCACCACCATACCAGGCTACCATGAAAACGTGATTACAGGGAGAAGTTAAATAATAGCTAGTCACTTAACCTCAGCAGGGCTTATAGCAAGCTAAGAAAAATTTATTTCTACAAGAGGTAAGGCGTCAAAAATTTTCATTGCCAATGACGAAAATTCGTTGGTGCAGATATCAAACTGAAACGGTGTTTTAAAATTATTAATTTACCAAAATGGCGCAATATTTTACTGAGGTAAAAATTTACTGGCACTATAATGACCCCCAAAGTCACCGAATTTTGAAAGATTATACGCCAAGTCGGCGTTAAATCCTTTAAATTCCACATAAAATGAATAGAAGGAGATTTTATTGTCGAAGAATTCATTACAGTTTTATCAGAAATTGATGGAGTGTTAAACTCCAAAATATTGACTTCTATGTTGTTTTATTTCGAAAATTTTGAAGACCTAATGTCAGGGCATTTTTTTATTACCCATCACAGGACCTCATCTTGGAGATATCAATGAAAATAGATTCGGTAAATGGAAAAGTATTTCTCAAATTTGGAGACTTTGAAAGAGATATTAAAATAATCTCGAAGAATGCCATAAATCGCAGTTCAGCAAAAAATAACTTTAAGTTCATGACATGAGTCATGGTAAAGGAAGAAATTTTATCGGACTTTAAATGATAAACATGGAGAATATTCAGAGAAAGTAATAGAAAGGCAAGAGTTATATTTACATGTTTGCCACAAGGCAGCTTACTTACCTGAACAGTAGGTAATAACAGTATGTAGGTAGTGTATTTTAAGTGTGTTAACTACTATGTTGAAATGTCATTAAAATTATTATAGTTAAAAATTATAGTTTGACCTTGCTACTACCTTTAAACCGATCTTGCTATTAAACTTCATTATCCAATACTATGATTTATATTTGTAATATAGTTGATACTATGGTAACTGAAATATGATTTAATTTAACACCCTAATCAAGGTTGTACCGAATTTGAACAGTGTTAAGGTTCAAAGTAGAAGATAATATTAAGTAAACAATTATCTTCCAACAGATTTTAAAGATTTTTTTCAAAGTCAATAAGTGTGAGTGTTTAATTTTCGCTGTCAGTTCTCTTGACGTTTGATTCAATTTTTCTTGAAAAAAAATGATTTACTCCCTCTTTATTGAATTCGACTGAGCGGTTAGCACAAAGTGCAACTTCGAGGTTACAATCTCATTTTTTTAACTTAACATTCACGAGATTTCAGTTGTAGTACCCTTTCCATACACAGCACAAATGTTATGAGCATTTCTTATGGCGTTAGAATCTTTGATAAAACAAATAGATGAGGTAATCTAAAATGTTCATTTTCTTCTCTTGACATTTGGTCTAAGACTTAACAAATAATGGCTTGAACAGAAAAAACAGAGCAAATAATTCTGCTTGAACTAAGCATCATCTTTCGAATGATTTTAAACGTTATGCCAAAAATACATAATTACAAGCAGAGTACATTTAAAAAATTGACCAAAGCTTAGTCGCCAACCCAGTACGTTAAACGTTCAATCGATTTTTTTAAGAGTGTAGTAAAAGACGTTGAGAAAAGGTCGCAGATAAGTATAATCAAGGGCGTTGGTAAGTTCAAAGGATGTTGATAAGTTTAAAGGACGTTGATAAGTATCATCAGTATTGTATCGTTTGATGCTTTTTCTTGATATTTTTTGTATGTATCATTGGAAAATTTATTTTTAATAATTGCTTAACTTACCTAATCTCCCATCTCTTTCATCTGAATGTTTTCTTAAGCACACAACTATGATAAAAATAATGATCACTAGTACCAGAGAGGAAACAACTATGGGCACCACCAAGGTCACATTTTTATAAAATGGTACATCAGTTTCTCTCTTTCCAAATGCAGGGGATGATGTAGGAGCTGTTGATAAAATTAATTTTATTTTTAAAATTTTAATTTTCTGTAGACTAAAAAATAACTCATTTTGTCATGAAAAAATTTCATTTACAGCAAGAAGTTTACTTCTTTCAGTAAGCATAACTAGTTTCATTGTTAACTCTGAAATCCATTTTGATGTTCAAAAGTTATTGTTTTTGTAAACCGTTTATAGAGCTTACTGAAAGAAACAATGTCATACACATTTTCAGCACGACCGTATTTCTACAATGCTTATGGTCTGTAATATAATGCACATCTCTAATCAAAAATATATTCCACAAATTTAAAAATGAACATCATAAAATACAAACAATCAATGAGGAATATATTTATTCAAAATTTTTAAGAAAATTTTAAACAACTTTAGTATTTATTTCTTATTTTAACTTTAAACAATAAATCATGTATAGATACATTTGTCAACATCGCTAACATATGATTAACGCTTTTAAGTCTTTCATTTAAAATTAAATTAAAACTAATGTTAGCATTTTAAATCATTTTGTCTATAAATAAGATGAAAAAAGCTAATAATTCATTTCATATAATGTAGTGTTTAATATTTAATATGTTATTTGCATTTAAAAAACCTTGAAATATCAATAGTGATAAAAATAATATGTCCCTATAAATATCACTAATATTTTTTTTATAAAAAACATTACATTGAAACTTTTTTCATAAATTTGTTAATAATTTTAAAATAAAATATATCAAATTCTCATATTATGAGCATTACATAAAAAATACATCCTAATGCATATTGGTGTTAAAAAAAATATTTTTTCTTAAAAATTTATCAATAACTTAAATCTAATAGTACAAGAACTACTGTACCTATAATACAGGTAATACATGTAATATCTATACCATAGTTAGGTATAAAATTATAGCTAAATACTGGCCTGAATGATTGATCTTAGTACCTAGTGGGTTGAGGGAGGCTGTACGAAATGAATATTCCGCTTGGGTTAGGCCAGCGTCACTGTGAGCTGTTACCATCACTTCATATTCTCTGTCTGGTGAAAGATTTCTTAAAAAATAAACATCTCTCGGCATTTCTAATTTTTCTACAACTTTTGACCACTGGCTGATATATTTTGGCCGGTACTGAATTTCGAAATGCTTGATAGGGCAGCCACCACTTTGCCAAGCTCCAAGATTCAATACGACGAAAGTTGTGTTTGGCGACAGGAAATGCGAACCATGAGGTGACATTGGTGCTGGAAAATATAAATAAAAATACCAATTATTTGTCTGCAAAGGACCCATTATTTATGAGCTAATATTTTTTTTCTTCTCAGAAAATAGTTTGCATTCCAAGTTGCATCGTTGCAAGTACCAATATATCTCAGACTCTTGAAGATTAAATATTGAATTTGTTTCTCAGCTTTTTCAGTAAGTACAATAATGCCTTCAAGGGAATAATTTACTACTTTAATAACTATTGTGAGCACGTGACTGTTACTCATAAGACTTTTGAGTTTGAGATTGTTTTAGGTTCATTCGACCAATGAAATAAAGTAAACGATTAATTTATTACTTTTATTATTGTGAAATCTTAATAATTATTAATAAAAAGTTTTGTTCACTTTTTTTTCTGACCAGTTAACTTTCATCATAATAATAGATGCAACAAAATTTCCGAAATAAAAATAAATGCATTTTTGCTTTACTTTTTATGTAAGGCATTTCGGTTTCACAACTAGAAAGGCACACTACCTTTGTATCCAGTCGAAAATTTTCAAATATTAAGCATGTTTGTTTAGTCTATTCTTTTAATTTAATTAGTATCTTACTATATATAAAAATCCAACGATAGAGTCAAAGTTTTTCATTGTTGTCTGTGCATTTTTATTGGCCTGAAAATCATGTGTTAGGATAAAGTTTTTCCTCACTCATTGCCATATTGTTTCGTTGTCATCAGTAGAAAATTATTAAAAATCATGAAGGTATTGTTTTTCCATAAATATTTTTGCATCCCTAATTCAAATTTACTTTCCAGCAGTTCTGTTATCAACTAGTCTTTTAATTTAGGAGTTCAAAACTAAGATAATTTTTGTTACTATTATAATGTAATTATGTGCTACATTTTAAGACAAAATTATTTATAAAGGATGTATAAGCTTATTAACCTCTTAACAATTAGTATTTTTGGGCGAATAATATTAATGTACTCTTTTAAACAACATTTAAAGAGATCTGTTAAATGATCAGCATCATGCACGATGAGATGCAAGAAAAAATAGAACTTAATATATTCACCTGTTTGGCAAGATAAAATATAAAACTACGGTTGTTAACTCATGAAATTTTTTTGAAATATATAATGTTATAACAATACAAATGCTATTTTAAAAATGATAACCTAAAAATAATTCAAAAATTACTTCACCAATAGATCTAAATATTTATAATACTAATCGATAATAATATTTGGAAGTAGGAAGTGGTGACACAAGTGTAAGCAAGCGTAATTTTTTTGTACATATATGTTAAGTAAATAATTTTAATTTTAGTAGGAAAACTATTTTCTACTAGGAAGTGGCAATTACTGCGAAGTAATCATCGGAGTTTGTGAGCGGCACCGAATAGGGGGCTTTAGTCCCCCTAGTATTTAACTGAAAAATTAAAGCTTTAAAATGAGTTTAAAAACCTGAAACAGTGATTTTTTATTCATTTTCTTTGGAGAAAAGACTTCGAAAAAATAACTGAAATGCGTTTTACTTAAAATAATTTTTTCACTTTTTTCTTAATTTCTACACTTTCGTAAACTGCATTTAAAAAAAATTATTAATTTATCCTCAATAATAACTTGAAAATACAAATAAACACCATTGAAATTTATTCTTGCTTATAAATTTTATATTTATAAAGCTGTGAATTTCTTAACTAAAATAGTGTTCAAGGTACATGATGTATTTAAAACTGTCCTTTTAGAAAGTATATTTTAAAAGTGTGCAAAAATTGCTAATTAAAATATTATCATCTTGTAAATCATTACCTGCTCCTAGTGTCCTGGTTGTTACTTCAACACTAGGCTCTCCAGAACCAAGACTATTGGAAGCCGTCATATAAAGATGATATCGAGTACCGCATCGCAAACCGCCCAATGAGTAATGGTCTTGGATATTGCTCAGTCGTAACTGCTCCCAATGGCCATCATCAGTTTTAT